TTTATTATTCCAATCTTCAGTTTTGCAAATTTGAGTAGATGTGACACGATGTTACAAAACCTCTGAGGAAAAATCGGCTGAAATCCAGCAAAGAGCAGAGGCCAAAGATTTTTAAATTACCGACAAATAATGGCTCGGCACACATCACACTTTGGTTTAAGATGAAATACTGTTACAGTACAAAGATGTCCTCGTTTTACACTGTTATTAATTAGCTTTAGATTTACAATGTAGGCACGTGTGCTCTTGTCTTTGCACTTCTGTGGTGAGGAAAACTAAAATAAACGGCTTCAGCAAAGAGTCACATTCTGCTACATTTGAAATGATCTGTTCTGTGTTTTGATTTCCCCTCTAGCTGTAACACAATCCACTGTGTTGCTTTGGCTATAATCTCAGTCAAAGAGAACAGAAACATACTGGAATTTATTAATGGACCAAAGAGGGAATCTTATGCTTTACAGCTTAACGCGGTGAGTTTATGTAAGATTTCATCAAGCACCTGATATCAGAGTGAATTTGACTAAAATAACTGAAAAAGAAAGAAAAAAATGATCTCTGCAAATTTAACTGATCATTATTTTCCCTTTTCAAAGTACACAAACGATCGTTGTAGGACTGAAGACTGTGAGCTGTCCCAGCTCTGCTCCGTCCGGCTGAAGCAGGTCCTCGTCTCGTCGGCAGCGGTGCAGGGCCACCCTGGTGTTGTGAAATAGCCGGGTTATAAGAGGTGTGTGTCATCGGCCTGATTCACAACACCAGCTGCGGCACACACACCTGAGAGGCAGATCTTCTGGTGATGGAGCTCTTAAAAAACACGCCCGAGCATTTTCCTGAGAGACTGCACCGCCCAATAAAAACTTGAATCGACAGTCTAACGCGGCCCTGACGACGCAAGCAGGAAACACATAAGGAGGCGATAAAACAACAAATGCAAAGGTGAGACAAAAAGACGCTCGAGCACAACAGCGTGGACCTCCTTTACCATTCAGCTGTGTTTGTGACCACGAATGAGTCAGACTTGTCTGCAGTTATGTGGAGCAGCAGAGACAGAATGAGCCTCCATCTGTGTTCTCTCAGGCCAGACTGAAGGACACAGAGTGTGGGCCACAAACAGAGGAGACGG